CTCTCTCTCTCTCTCTCTCTCTCTCTCTCTCTCTCTCTCTCTCTCTCATTCTCTCTCTCTCTCTCTGTCTCTCTCTGTCTCTCTCTCTCTGTCTCTCTCTGTCTCTCTCTCTCTCTCTCTCTCTGTCTCTCTCTCTCGCTCTCTCTCTGTCTCTCTCTCTGTCTCTCTCTCTCGACTATACCAACTTGTAAAAGCGCTTGCCTCTTCTCCTATATGCGGCAATCAAGGGACCGGACCGTGAGAATGGTGGCTCTGTGGCTCTCGGAAGCCCAGAGAGAAAATGCCCCCCGCCCGCCCCATTTTATCCACCCAGCACAGAAACCGGATTGATTTTACACCAAATCAATAAAGGAACAGATAACATGTAGAATAACATAGAATAACCCCCTTCCCCAAGACGGACTCTGGTTCTTCATTCTGCTGCACTTTCGCCCTTGAAGTTCATTTGGGAAACATTTTGGGGAGGAAGAAAGCGTGATCACGCGATGCGAAATCCACCTGGGTTAACTGTGGCAAGACAGAGACTTGGTTCCAGGTCGCCGACCCTCCCCGGAGTCGGTGGCGGTTTGGGAGTAAGATAAGAGCCGCGAAGCCCGGTGGGGGTGCCGGGGAGAGCGGGTCCCCCGCCTCCCATTTCAATTTAGCGCTTTGGCCCAAACAGATTTTTCGTTCGTTAAATTTAGGGAAAGGTAGAAGCTAGGATCGTGTTTAGGAAAAGCCGGGTCTTAGCCATCCTCCGGAGACCGAGGAGCCCCTCCCTCCCTCCCTCCTCCTCCCGTCCCCTCTCCCGGAAGAAATACTGCCTACTAAGCCCGAAGGCTCTGTCTGTTTGCGGGTAGGTACAGACCGTAAAGACCCGGGACAGAACCTGACCTTCCCTTCCCTTCCCTCTCGGACTCTTGGGATAGGGGACACCCTCCGCCAAAATTGAGGTGTCCCGAGTGTCCCCTGGGGCCCCCTAGGGGGCGGAGGATGCGTAGAGGAGACCCTCCTTGCGACAAAGCCCCGTATCCTCGGGCCTTGCTCTCTCCTCCCCAACCCGGCCCTCTCCCGGGTTGAGCTCGCACTCAAAGCTGTTCCTCCGCGTAGACGTGGGTGATATGTTTATTTTCATCTTTTAGTCTTCAAAGACCACAGAACAGGACTTGGGCCGTATTCAGAGCTCAGGCCTTGCGGGTCTTCTACTTGACAAGCGTCCCTAGTTTTCATAATAAACATCTGCTTGGGGGCGGGGTGCGCTTTGAAGCCGCCGCGCCGCGCCTCCTGCCTGGGCCGGTGGCCTCCGGCTGGCTCCCGTCGGCGCCGGGGTCCTGGGTCCGAACGTGCAGGCTCCAAGCCCCAACCCTAATCCAGCCCCCGGCGCAGACTCGGACGTTTCCCTGGACACCCCGAGGGAGGTCGCAGGTCACGGGAGAACTTGGGGCCGGGGGTTGGCAGTTCCGTCCGGGGCCCAGCCAAGGGCGCGACCGACGCGGAGCCCAGCCTGTCCCCGCAGCTGAGCTCAGGGAGCCTGAGGTCAAAGGAGGCGTTGCGTCCGGGCCGAGGCCGGCCGGGCGCCAGGCACCAGCGAAGGCGCGCGGCAGCGCGGCCTACGTCGGCTGGAACGTTACCGGCCGCCGGAGCCGGCTGGGCTGGGCGCGGAGCCCGCGGGGATGGGGTCCTGGCGGGAGCGCGGATGGCAGAGGAGCCCGCGGACGCAGCCCGGCAGGGCGAGAAGAAGGAAGGCCAGTTTCTCAGCCCCGTCGGCCGTACCTGAGCCAGGCGCGGTCGGTGAGACCGGCGTCAGGGCCGCCCGCGGCGTCCTCGCCTCCTCCCCAGTCCGCTCTCCCGAGACTCAGCGAGGACCAAGGCCGCCTTTCCTTTCCCATCGGGCCGGTCCCTCGGGGGGTCCAACCTCCCAGAGGCGCCCGAGCAGAGCCCGCTTTCCCGGAGTGCCACGGCCACCCGGGCAGGCGCTTGGGTGTGTGAACAAGAGATTCCAAAACCCGAGTTTCCAGAGCCACTCTGAGAAGTGGTCAGAGGAAAGCTTCACTTTAGATTCAAATATGCCCCAACATGCATGTTGTTTTAGTCCAAACTCAATAATCGCAATAAATAATTAAAATTTCCCCCAGTTGTTCCCCCAAATCTTTCAGGGTGTGCAAAGCCTTCCCAAGCTATAAAATCCCTGGGGAAAACTGAATTAAAAGAGCTTACTCAAAACATCATTAGTGTTAAAGACCCTATCATGCAGGAGGCCCATTGAGATCGGAGGCCTTAGCTTGAAGCTGAACTGATAAATATCTATTTTGAGTTTTCCCCCAGATTTGTAACTTTTTAGATCCTCAGATGGTAATACTTTAGCATAATGCAATGCTCAAATTTCGGAACTATTTTGATTTCTGAAAAATGCCTTTTTGGCTTCAGTGACATGGGATCCTGTTATTTTTTCACAAATCAGTTTACATCATAAATTGCAAACATTTGCAATAAGATCTCAAGATTGTTTATTTTATGTAACCTCAAGCACTTGACTATGTTAAACACCAGTACAGAAAGTCTGTGAAATCAGTTTAATGTGTGTGAGGGAATTAAAGGATCACTCCTTTTCATCACACAAAAAAAGCATTTAAGATTGTTTTGATTGTCAGTCTCCCAACTTTTAAACAGTCTTACAATTGACTATTAATTTTAGAGTCATTCCGTGCAAAAATAATTACTAAAGTTATATCCTGCTTCAATTAAATGTTTCTGGGCAGAAGAAAATGGTATTCTACATTGGGAAATGGGTGATTGTTTTCACTGTTATATTATTTTAAATTATTTTAGTTTAAATGTAAATAAAGTCTGCTAATTCCAAGGGGGGAAAAAGGCCTGCAATGGTTTCTTAACATGCTGTTAGAACAGTTAGTCAAAGTGCATTAAAGGAATGTCACAGAACCAGAAATAATAAATATGTCATTCTAATGAGAGCGTTAACTTATGGATAATTTATTCAAGGTAGTTTTTACATTTCACATGGAATCTCTTATTATGACCTGCCTGAGTACTGTGATGCTTGTTCTTCAAAATCTAATTTATATAGGCTTGAGATATACATAATTCATAGCTCCTGTTGATATATGTATACACACCATGAATTTTAAACCTTTACAATATGCTTGCATGTTTACTAGCATGTTTTCAAGACGACTGGAATAAAAACATAAAAAGTGTTAAACATTTTATTGAAAGCATGTGTGAAGAAAAAGTAGTTGAAAATTAACAGTTAAAAAGGATTAGATAATTTTCAAGCTCAGATACAGAGTGAACACTGAAATATTTCAGACAGGGAACATTCTTGTATAAGAAATATGAAAATCTCCAAGAAAGACTTACAGATGTGAGCTTATAACACTTCTGATACCTAGGTAATCCTTTCATGTCTCTAATTCACAAAACAAAATATCCTCAAGTCTTGGGGGTATTTTGTTTTGGGTATTTTATGTGTCAATCAAGGTAACCATCGCATATGCCTTCAGTACAGGAAAATTTAGTATAGTACTTACGTGGAGTTCTATTGGCATGAAGAAAGGTTTTAGAATATAATCAAATAAATCACATAGGAAGGAGTAAACACACCTTTTTCCCCCTTGTTGAACAAAGGCTCACATGTCCTGAATAAAGATCTTTGTAGATTCTTATTCAGGCAGAACAGAGCAGAGTAAGTTAAGGGCATGGACTCTGGAGCCAGACTTCCTGGATTCAAACCTCACTGCTGCCATTTACCAGTCCTGTGATTTTGGATTAGTTCATCTCTCTGTGCCTCAGTTTCTTCATCTGTAAAATGCAGATAAAAACAGCATCTATTTTGTGGGGATGCTAGGAGGATTAAATAAATTAATATTTGTAAAGCCCTAAGAACAGTGGCTTGCACTTATGTATACTACCACTATATGATATTTATTTTAATGCAAAGGCCAATAGGCATTAGTCCTTATAATAAAAACCTTAGAAGAAGAAAATAACAAAGTATGCAAGACAGGGAATAACTACTTCTCTGTTGTGGGCTAGAGGAAAGCATTACTTACTAGTTTGTGATTCCAGCTAATTGCTTAGCCTCTGTGAGCCTCATCTGGACGATGTGGCAAATGTCACAGTGCAGTTAGGGGCTTATCTATAAGAGCAATTTAGAGAATGCACAGTGCCATATACATGACAGATGGTATTGTTACTCTGCCATGTGCGGCTAATAAGGTGAGATATCAAGCATGGCACTTGCCCTCAAGGGGCTTACCATCTTGGGGGAGATAGTTCATAAATACATATGATAGTGTTAGGGAGCATGTGCTAAATGCACTTGCTTAAAGGCGTTCAGACACATTATATGCGTCTGAGTGGCCATACAACACATGTGAGGCCTGTTACCCTCTTTTTGGAAACTGAACCTTCCTTAGAAATGAGTAGCCTTATAAAGAAATGGTGGAGCGACACCCAGAGGTTAAGAAGCACACTTTGTTGGAATAAATGCATACCATATGTTGCCGTGGTTTGTGTTCCACAGGACCATCTGCGCTTTCTTTGGCTGGCCAAGTTTGTAGAGCGTTAGCAGTGAAATGCTAAAAGACACAAGGGCTGCTGACCAACGATCTTTAATAGCAGTTTGAAAACACATATAATACAAAAGAAGAAATGTTTGATTACTATTGTAAGGACATGTAAAATGAACAGTTGAGTCCTACTTACAGATATAATGAAGAGGGACTTCTTTCCAGTGGCTAA